CTCTTATCTGGGAGAACCAGGTTTGATTCCCCACTCCTCCACTTGGAGCTGCTGGATGACCTTGGGCAACCCATAGTTCCAGAGGTCATTTTGGGGGGGATCGCGGGGGATCACAGTTCCCCCGGGTGAGGTACGGGGGGTGGGGCACATGACAAACCTCCGCCCCCTGCTTCCGGCCGCCTCGCTTCCGGCCCTCATTCAGCCAGGAGGAGGCAGGAGAAGAGGGAGGGTAAGTTGCTTCCTCCCTGCCTCTCCCCACCCCTGCCTACCTGGGGCCAGGGAGGGCCTTCGCGGGGCTCCCTTGCACTCCCACCGGCCTTGCAGGTCCACCGCCGGGCCCCTCATGGGGCTCAGCAGTGGAGCTGCAAGGCCGCCGGCGGCAGCCAGGACCATTGGGGGCGGGGTGTGTGGCCTTATGACACACATCCGGTGATGTCAGGGGGGGTGGCCTTATGACACACTTCCGGTGATGTCAGGGTGTGTGGCATATGCTAATGAGTTATGCTAATGAGTTCCCCTAGCTCTTTTTCCACGAAACGACCCCTGCATAGTTCTATCAGAGCTGTTCTCTCAAGGACAGTTCTCTCAGAGTTCTCTCAGCCCCACCTACGTCACAGGGTGTCTGTTGTGGGGAGGGGAAGGGAAAGGGAAAGGAGTTCGTAAGCCACTCTGAGACTCCAAGTGAAGGGCGGGGTATAAATCCAATCTCTTCTCTTCTTCTTCTTCTAATATAACAAGAATTTACAGTAGCACACACTATTAGGAAACCACAACAATAACAACATAATTACCATCCCAAAAAACACGAGAGCAATCAAACCAAACATCTATTCAGTATATAGCTATAACCTTCAGATTATCAGGAAGTGCCTTTTTTAAGTTTACTGTGCTTAAAGGAAACCGACGTTCCAAATAATCTAAAACCATCATAAGGGTCAGTTTCACAAAGCAAAGTTGAACACTTGACCAGTTATGCAACAAAAATGTTTACTCAAATCAGCGATTGGTTGTAAATTTTCAGCCACTATGTGACGCTAACTTGTTGTGGCCGTAGTAGCATAGCAGTGAAGGAGAAAGGTGAGATAATATGGGGGGGGGGGATGCAATATAGTCTATGGCAGTGGTGGCGAACCTATGGCACGGGGGCCAGAGGCGGCACTCAGAGCCCTCTCTGCGGGCACGCGTGCCATCGCCCCAGCCAGGCCCAGACCATCATCAAAGTGTCAAATTCTCTGCCAAATAATTTTAAGTAAATGAAAGCATTTGGGATTGCTTTCCTCACTTTGTTTGGATCATCTTAAGTTAATGCATGAGTTCTTTCTTCTAAAGTAAAACCTCAGTATTCAGGTTAAATTGTCGTGTTGGCACTTTGCGATAGATAAGTGGGTTTTGGGTTGCAGTTTGGGCACGCGGTCTCTAAAAGGTTCGCCACCACTGGTCTGTGGCATCGTGAGCCAAGGAGGCTTCTAAAACAGATGAGCAGATCAAGGCTGAAATCCTTAACTGCAGGAGGTGAACGTGGCAGGCATCCTCCCAAATACTGCACGCTTTCCCCTTCCCATTCCGTCTTTGTGACCCTCCCACGACTTTCTCCACTTGCCACAGTTGCTGCGAGCAGAGCTACTGTCTGTTTTTGCACTTGCCTTTGTCTCCAGTGGCACCGTGAAGGCCAGCAAGGCTTTATTCACCGCATAAGCACAATTGCACACGAACGCTTATACCGTGAATAAAATCGTGTTGGTCTTAAAGGTGCCACAGGGCTCAAACTTTGTTCTGCTGCTTCAGCCCAACACGGCTACCCCCACCTGAATCTTTGCACATGCCTGTATGCCTACATGGGTTGACCCCTGAAGAAGAAGAGATTGGATTTATACCCCGCCCTTCACTACCCAAAGGTGTCTCAGAGTGGCTTACAAACTCCTTTCCCTTCCCCTCCCCACAACAGACACCCTGTGAGGTAGGTGGGGCTGAGAGAGCTCTGACAGAAACTGCTCTTTTTTCAAGAACAGCTCTTATCAGAACTATGGCTTGCCCAAGGTCATCCGGCAGCTGCATGTGGAGGAGTGGGGAATCCAACCCGGTTCTCCCAGATTAGAGTCCGTGCTCTTAACCACTACACCAAACTGGCTCTCGAGGGAGGAGTGACTTGTCCATTGTTTGAGTAATGCCACCATCCGCCGTGCATATTGTCTAATACAGGGTTCCCCAGCATGGTGTTGCGTGGGTGCCATGGTGCCTGCCAGTACATCCCCTGGTTCCAGACAAACTCTCAGAAGTGGATGGGGCCTTTGTAAGGCAGTAGTTGTTACTGGCTGTCCTCATTTGCATGAAAGTGTTTTTTTTCATGAATGCAGTAGCAGCTGCCACTGGAGAATCAGGAGGACGAGTAGGCATCCATGTCTGTGGTTCCACTTCCCCCTTTAGGATTTACTTCTTTTTATTCTCCCGTCTCCTTTTCCCTTCCTCCCCATGGGCTATCCTTCACTTATCTTTATTTCCCTTCTACAATTCTTTTGCAAAGGGTGGCAGCCAGTTTGGGTTTGGCCTCGCCTTCCATGGCAGCCATTTTGTAGTGGTAATCACCAATTTCAAAGGTGCCCACAGGCTCAAAAAGGGTTGGGATCCCCTGATATTCATAACCAATCTTTTTTCTCTGAGGGACTTAAGGTCATGTACAAATGCAGGGTTTCCTGATTTAGTTAACTCTGGTGAAGCAGATGTTCTGTTCTTTCAACTTCTGCAACCAAGGATTATCGCAAGTGGCACTTCAAAAAAAATGTTACTTTAGATTTTAGTGGTAGTGTTGTGGTTGCGTACCTGTGCTGGAAGGTCAGGTGGAACTTACTTCTTACTTGGAAGTGTGTTCGCTTCGTTAAATCACAAGAAGTTATTCTTGCCTGGGTTTTTTTCCCTCTTTCTCCAATTATCTATCACTCAGTACAAATAAGATCCAAACTCCTGGCCTTTGAGCCCAAACTATTTATTTATTTATGTATTTTTCGCATTTATATCCTGTCCATCCCGCAAACGGGCTCAGGGCGGGTCAACAACATTTCCATAAATATAATAAAAATTTTAAAACACATTAGAAGCATATAAAACCAATAATCATAGCTTGCCGTAGGGAGAGTCCGGCCCCGTGATGTAGGTAGGTATGGCCGGTTATCAGTGGGTGGGAGACAGCAACCTCGGGGGGGGGCATGTGTGGACGCCCACTGCCTCAGCCAAAAGCCTGGCGGAAGAGCTCCATCTTACAGGCCCTGCAGAACTGAATAAGATCCCACAGGGCCCTGACCTCAGTAGGGAGCATGTTCAAGGTCAAGGTTAGGCGGACGTCCTTTGGGCCAGGGATCACCAGGAGATGTTGACTCTCAGAGTGTAACACTCTTCAAGGAATATATGGGGTGGTCCCTTAGGTATGTTGGTCCCACATAGGGTTGCCAAATGGGCCCGGGGGGGCGGGGAATCCCCCGCTTCGGAGGCCCAATTTCCGCCGTCGTTGGGGGCGTGGCCAAGCTCGTCGGGAGGAAAACCATATGGTTTTCCGCAACAACTCCCGGACCGCGGCGAGGCTCCCCCGCCGTGAGGGGTAAGTCCAGTTGGCAACCCTAGTCCCACACCATATCAAGCTTTGAAGGTGGCTTCATTTCTTTTCTCTCCACCTTCTTGCTTCTGCTCCCAGATAGGTGGGATCATGACAGTGAAGGAAGGTTTTCCGGCTCACAAAAAGTTAGACATGTGCTTTTCAGAACATCAGAACTATGCTTTGAGCATTAGAAAGTGGCATTAAAGTTTGTAGGGATGTGCAGCCTTTACCTGCCTTTTAGTATATCAACCAATGACCGGAAGATAAAAATATGTAGGTGAGCAGGTAACCGTCATTGTATTGAATTTCCATAGTTCATAGTTCACCCGTCTCAAAAGAGGCATTCCACCATAAAATGTTACCCTTGTAGCTACCCTAAATGTCACTCTATTATTAGCACGGGGAAGTGCCTTTATTTAATTTTTTTATATAACCCTACCCATGTTGAATCCCCGTGCCAAGTGGGTCAATCTTAAGCATTAAAGTTTGTAGGGATGTGCAGCCTTTGCCTGCCTTTTAGTATATCAACCAATGACTGGAAGATAAAAAATATGTAGGTGAGCAGGTAACCGTCGTTGTATTGAATTTCCATAGTTCATACTTCACCCGTCTCCAAAGAGGCATTTCACCATAAAATGTTACCCTTGTAGCTACCCTAAATGTCACTCTATTATTAGCACGGGGAGGTGCCTTTATTTAATTTTTTTATATAACCCTACCCATGTTGAATCCCTATGCCAAGTGGGTCAATCTTAAGACAGACTTCACGAGACAGGAGCCGGCGTCGGCCGGGAGGGCAGGATAGAAGTCTAATAAATCAAATCAAATTGAGCAAAGGAAGACCCCCATCTCCTCCCACTCTGTTTGTATGCTGAAGGCAAGGAATGGGTTTTAGCAAAGCTTGGGGAAAGAATCTAAGTATATTGCTCAAATCATTTGTTACCTGTCGTGGTACAGTGCCCTGACCTCGATAGCCCAGGCTAGCCTTATCGTGTCAGATCTCAATTCAATTCAAAACCTTTATTGGCATGGATCGTGTCAGATCTAAGCAGGGTCAGTCCTGGTATCTAAGTATATTGCTCAAATCATTTGTTACCTGTAATGGTACAGTGCCCTGACCTCGATAGCCCAAGCTAGCCTTATCGTGTCAGATCTAAGCAGGGTCAGTCCCGGTTCCCATTTGGATAGGAGACCACCAAGGAAGTCAGGGATCTTGACACAGAGGCAGGCAATGGCAAACCACCTCTGAACATCTCTTGCCTTGAAAACCCTACGGGGTCGCTATAAGTCGTCTGCAACTTGACAGGACTTTCCACCACCAACAGTGCGGGGCGGGGGGTGGGTGGGAATGAATTACTGCTTATTCCTGTGACGATTTCTGTTTTGAATTACTGAAGGTGAGCTCTCGTTTCAGTATACTTTCGTACCAGACGTTACCAAGAAACATGCCAAGCCATCGAGCCCAAGTTCTACCTCGGTATCCCGAAGGCTATCGAACCCTCCCAAGGAACAGCAAAACCAGGCCTGAAAGCATCTGCAGCGTGACACCGTCTGTTTATGACAAGACCCTTGGGACCCTCCCCCCAGAAGACAAAAGGAGATCCATGCGGGACGACACCATGTGGCAACTCTACGAGTGGCAGCAGCGGCAGTTTTACAATAAGCAAACGACTCTTACGAGACATGGTACTTTAAGCAGCCCCAAAACCATGATTAATATCTCTGATCAAACGATGCATATGATTCCCACATCACCTTCCCATGGTTCAATAGCAGGTTTCCAGGGATACTCCCCGCAGCGGAACTACCGGTCCGAAGTGTCCTCGCCGGTGCAAAGAGGAGATGTAACCATTGACCGCAGGCATAGGCCGCACCATAACAAGGTGAAACGTTCGTCTCTTTTCGTTGTTTCTAAACGAACTTTTTACTTGGGGTACTTTGCTGGAATGTAATGGGGTAACGTTCACTGGAACCAATCTTTCCAGAGCACATTGATATTTCACCCTCGCAGAATATAAACCAGTTTCAGTGCTGTCGTTATAGAGAAAGTCAAGGGGGAAATTCTGGTTCATACATCAGGTGGCTGCTATTCAGTAGAACCGAAAATGCTGTACTGTCACTAATGGTGGGCAGAGAGCCAGTTTGGTGTAGTGGTTACGTGCACGGACTCTAATCTGGGAGAACCAGGTTTGATTCCCCACTCCTCCACTTGCACCTGCTGGATGACCTTGGGCAAGCCATAGTTCTGTCAGAGGTGTTCTTGTAAAAGAGCAGTTTATGTCAGACCCCCCTCAGTCCCACCTATCTCACAGGGTGTCTGTTGTGGGGAGGGGAAGGGAAAGCAGTCTGTAAGCCGCTCTGGGACTCCTTTGGGTAGTGAAGGGCAGGGTATAAATCCAATCTCCTCTTCCTCCTCCTCCTCCTCCTCCTCCTCTTCTTCTTCTAGCACTGAAAGATTCCCGCCCTACCGGTTCTCTCGCTGAGATTCCCAGCAATGTGGGATGCTTCCTACATTGCTTGGTAGAAAAGACCCAACCTAAGACGCCAGTCAGATCATATAACATTGGAGTTTGCGTGGCAGAACTTATTTAGTGCCGAAGCATTTCCCATCCTTATCTGCTTAGTCATCAGTTGTAGCAGTTGCTTTTTCTATTCCCAGGAAATTGTCTTGCCCCTGGAAGAGTGAGGATGGGGCAGCTGTCTTTCCTCGTCCTTCCTTTTAGGCCACTTTCCCTTATCAGCCCTTCATCTTTGCCTCTCGCTGCTAGCCTTTGCACCGAATTAGAATCACCTCTCTGTCTCCTCCCCGCATCCTGGGAGACTACTTCTGTACCCAGTAGTGTTGGGTTAATACAACCAATTTTAATGTCCTTGCTGAGGACATCCCATGTTTGGGGGGGTGTGTGTTAATGCATCACCTTTTTGTCTTAATACATTTCCTACCATATTCCGATAAAAGGATTTGATTGACATTCTGTGACCATTAGTATCCAGTAGTCCAAGCTAGCTCACCGTTTTTTAGCCTCCGGCTCACACATTTTTGCCTTGGCTCAGAAGGAGGGCTCCAGACCAAACTGATTTATGCAGTAGCCAAATCGCTCGCTCACAACTTTAATGCCAGCAGCTCACAAAGTGGAATTTTTGCTCACAAGACTCTACAGCTTAGAGGGAGCATCGTCTGTGACCTCTTTCAAACTTGGTAGACAGGTTACCCACTGTGGCTGATAATGAAACTGTGTTTCGCCATCCTGTATGTATAATTAGCACCTTATAAATGTCTTATAAATGTTTTATGTTTTTTAGCTGTTTTAAGCTTGATCAGATAAAAGTGGAATTTCATTTAAGCCTTATTTGTTGTTACGCCGCCCTGAGACTGCTGCAGCGGGGAGGGCGGGATAGAAGCCAAATAAAACAAATAAATATATAAATAAATAAGCTTTTATGTAAGCCCCCCTGAACCTGCTTCGGTAGGGAGGGCGGGGTATAACCAAATAAATTAATAGATAAAACTGGAATTTCATATAAGCCTTATAAGCTTCCTGGATCCTCTGAGTCCTTTTGACATTTGTGGGGGGTCGAGAGGAAGGTGCTGCGATTCAATCTATTTGTCCTGACAAGCGATGAACTTACTCCTTTCGCTTTGGACACCTTTCATAAACCTTAAGTTGACTTGGGAGGGGGGGGGGAATCTCATGCTTAAAATATCAGACTTAACCTTTGCTTTTGGAAACTTTGACAGGCACCCGGATTCTAATGCACAGTCCCTTTCTCTCCCCTCCGTCTCCGCAGCAGCACGTCTTTGTGGCTGACAGAAGGTCGATGCCAGCGGGTCTGAGTGTACAGCCCATTAGTCCCCAGAGCTTGCAAGGCAAAACGGTGAGTGGCATTTTTATATTTAGCGCATCATTTTTTATTTAAGAAACAGCCCATAAAACACAAGAGATAGGACGACAGCTATATTGCCTGTAGAACCTGTATAAATGCAGCTTCTTTTGTTGTTGTTGTTGTCGTCCCGATAAATAAAGGACTTCCTTCCAAACAGGTCAGATCCAACTGGATGTGTACAATCTTCGCAAAGGGGTCAATAGCTTGTTATTGGTTTGTTTCATTTATAAATTAGATTTATGGATCCCTGATCACTCAGGGCTCTGGGCGATGAACAACAAAACACTAAAACATCAAACAATAACAATTCAATTTAGAGTAAAACAATTCTCAGATGGTGTTAACATAAGCCGATTGACATGTCAATTTTCAGACCACGCGGCACCCTGCAGAAGGGGTGGGGGGGTTATTAGAAAAGATGGGGAAAGAACTGGGAAGAGGATCGTTTGAACTTCATTTGTACCGGATAGTCTGGGACCTGGATAGCACAGGCTAGCCTGGTCTCATCAGATCTCAGAAGCTAAGCAGGGTCAACCTTGGCTAGTATTTGGATGGGAAACCTCAAAGGAGTACCAGGGTCACGACTAAGGATGTGCAAAAAAACCCCAAACCACCCTTGGGTTGTTTTTTTTTTACCAATTAGGGTCTATTGGACCCGAAAAAATATCGGTATTCCCAAATATTCCCGAATACCACTATTGGTATTGTGCTGATTTGAGTAAATATTTGGGAAATCCCAATTTATTCAGCTCCATTATACCCTATGGAGACCGTCCCCATAGGGTATGATGGAGAATTTCACTCTCCGAGTTGTACCGCCACTACGGCGTGACTCCACGAGTGAGCTGAAGCCATTTAAAATTTAAATGTGTTTAGTTCACTGCTTGACTCGGGCCGTGGCATTGCAACCCAGCGAGGGGACTTGAATGCATTTAAGCTTTAAATGCCTTCACTTCGCTTGCTGAGTCGAGCTGCGATGTTTAAATGCATTCAGTTCCCCCACTGAGTCGTGCCACCGCCGTGGCCCGACTTGGCCACTGAACTGAATGCATTTAGCCATGCTGAAAAAAAAGCCTATAAAAGCCAAATTATATCAGCTTTTATGCGGGCGTGGCCATTTTGGTAGCCGAATACAGATCTCTGGAAAATACCAATAAGGCATTTTGGGGGCATTTATTCAGCTCAGTATATACCGAGCGCACACCCCCTAGTGTCATGACATGATGGCAGGCAATGGCGAACGAACTCTGAACATCTCTTGCCTTGACAGCCCTACTGGATGTCTGGGGAAAGCTCTCTTTTTCTTATGTAACCAGTTCATTTACAATACTCTGGGACAACAGTAAAGCATCTTGAAACTTTACTTTTGCACGCTTCACAAATTGACCTGCCATTAAGCTGTTAATTCAGTAGCAGAGGGGGAAATGCCAATTACCGGAGCTTTTCATTACTGCAGAATACAAGTTATAGTTAGCTGGGAACTGGTGCTGTAGGCAGTTTGTTACACATTGTGTGCTGTCTTATGAAAAGAGACTATCCACACACTAATTGCACATTTTTATTCAGATCGTTAAAAGTATTTTACTGTTCAATACCTTAAGGTTCAGTTCAGCGGTTATGTATTCGTGCAAGCTTTTTCAAGAGACTCTCGTGAAGGCATAACTATATTTTTTTTTACTAATTGAAACTTTAATTGCCTCTGTGCAATGTTCTTCAGGGAGGTTTCTGTTGAGAAACACGCCATTTGTCAGTAAAGGTGACTTAGATGGTATTTTCCAGTGAGCTTCATTCTTCATAAATAATGCCTCCCTCCCCCAGTAAAACAACAACAGATATATAGTAGGGGAAGGTATACTGATCATAAAGAGAAACTGCAGGCTCGTCCTGCCTTCAGTATATCCAAATGTCTTGCTCCCTCTGCTGGATTTTATTAAACACAGCCACCGTAGCTAAAAATACTTCTGGTCTGCATTTCCTTCAGTATTTGAATTATGCAGTTGAAAAACCTGAATTGATGTGGGTCTCCTAAAAGCACCGCTGTTAAGGGGCGTATTCTGCAGCTTTCCAGAGTTCCAGTGTGTTAGGTAGATGTCCACATGGAACTGGACTGGAACTGGAGGCCACGTTTTTGTGTGTTGTTAGAGAAAGTATCCCATAAGCAGTGGTCAATTTGCACTACGCAAGGAAAGCAATCCCTGTCTATAGCTGCTATACCGTACCAGAGCTGCTGGGATTTTGTATGTCTTGATGGATACTGTGAATCAATTCTGGGAGATTTTGATATCCATTTCTTGGTGTTGGGAACTGAGTCATCGGCTTCCTTGTCAGCAGGGCTTTATTTATTTATTAAATTAGATTTCTTAACCGCACTTCCCCGCTTTTAGAAGAAGAGGTGCCGAAACTCTCAAGAGGGAAATGAAGTTTTCAATCTGTATACCGCAAAACTCATGAACTTTTAAAACATTTTTAAAAGAATGTTGTGGAAGAGGTTCCAGAACTCTGTTCCGGCGCCATCCCCCAGAAAAAACGGCCCTGCGTGTCAGGATCAGGCCGCAGTGAGGCCTGACATCATTGGACATAGGGATTTTAGGATATACCAGTATTAATTCATCAGGAGTGCCAAAGAGCCCTGCTGTTGGCCCACCAGAGGAACTGGTTAGCCACTGTGCAAGACATAGGGCTGCCAAGCCGCGGCGGGGTATCCGTGCGTCTTCACGGGATCCCTGCCGCGGGGGACAGCAATACGCGTTGCACCGCCGTCGCCAGGATGTGACGCTACGCGTCGCTCTGGCAACGGGACTCCAAACAGCCCCGTTGCCAGAGCGACACGTAGTGTCACATCCTGGCGACGGCGGTGCAACGCGTATCACTGTCGCACGGATCCCCCGCCGCGACTTGGCAGCCCTAGCGAGACAGGATGCTGAGTTAGATGGACCACTGGTCTGATCTAACAGGGCTCTTCTTGTGTTCTTAAAGAGGCAGTTCTCATTGCATGGAAGATATCATTCATGAGGTCAAACAGATCAGGGGGATGAAGAATCTGTCTGTGGAAGGCTGGGATCAGGGCAGAGCATTTAGGGGGAGGCAGATACAACAGAAGATGCCTAGACAGAAGAAGAGTAAACATCAACTAAACAGGACAAAGTATGAGAATTTTCTTAAAGGCACAGCCCCACAAGAATTTCTCCTGTTAATGCTTTTTTCAATCATTTTAAAACATTTTTTAAAGGTGTGCACTCCTATAAGCAGAGTGGGGTGCTGTAGTTGACTAATTTTTGCACTGAGCATGGGGGTTGGAGTAGGTGACCTCTAGGAACCCTTCTAACTGGTCTCCTTTAAGGGCATTTTTCTGTTCAAGTGTTAGCTTTCTTGACTACAGAAGTCATCACCCCCACCTGCCAGCTTGCTTGTTGCTTAGGCTGGCAGAAGTGATTTAACTTGCAGCAGCTGAGAACTATCATCTAAAGTGGTGGACCGCTTGCAGTTTAGAGAACCATCCTGGTAACAGCTTTCCATTGGCCTTCTTTTTTTCTGCACAGAGAACTTCAGCCCCACCAGAAAAAAAAATTGCCCCACAAGCCACAAAATCCTGGCTACGGGCCTGGAATGGAGCCTCATATAAAATTTGAGTGAATGGAAGCGGCACAGTCCTAAGAGCTTCCAACAGCTAGGATGTGGGCAAAACGCAGAGAAGACTTTAAGACCAGTCCTGACAATGGGGCTTTATGTAGCTTTCCATGAGCACACCTGGTGCGGGAACCTTCTCTGTTGTTCTTCCCCCTCTACTAGGGAGATTCATCCTGTTGTTCTTTAAGGCCTCTTTGAAGTCGGCACAGTTGCTGTTCCTATCACATTCTTCAGGTGTATTGATCACATTCTAGTTAAGGAGGACTGTAAAATATCAGTAGCTGTCTTGGTTCTGGGCTTTGCTGCCTGTGTGTTCCTACCCTGTGGGTCAGCAACATGGACTTCCCCCTGTAAAATGGTTCCTTTTGGGCTACTCATGGCACATAGTGTATGCACTTTGGGTAGGGGTGGGGGTTGTCTTCCCAAGCATAAACTTTACTCTGCCGTCCTTTTGACATTAGTTTATTCAGTCTACTAAAGGTTTTGAGCTGCGTTTAAAAATACCCTTCCAAAGAGGTCCACTGGAGCCATTTTAAGGAAAAGAGAGCAGGAAATGGACAACATTTTGGGTCTGTCAGGTCTGACATGGTGTCTTGGGGATGGCTTTTCGTAGAAATTAAATTTTAATACTTCTTCGTCTGCCTCTTCTTCGGCCAAAGAGCAAACCAGTCAATCAGATACCCTGCTTGTTTCCGTAGCTTCCAACTCCCTTAAAACTTATCAAGCAGCCTGGGCATGCACAAACTTCTGTCGTTTTCTTCTCTCTCGTGACCATGTTGAGTCGTTCGATCCCTTCCCCTCCCCACAGTTTGCTAGCCTTTGTGTTTTGAAATAGTGGGGTGGATCCAACTGTCCTCCAAGGAGCCTTCCTTCAACTTAAGAGGCTCTTCCTTCAAAGAAAGGTCCACTTAAGGTGGAGGACGTTTCAGAGGGTAGTCATGTTGGTCCGCCATTAAACAGCAAGATCCGAGTCCATTAGAACTTTAGAGGCTAACAAGATGTATACACGTTCGAGAGTCAGAGGTATTCAGGGGTCATTTCGCAGAAAAAGAAGTGCAGGAGCTCATTAGCATAACTTATTTGCATAAGCCACACACCCTGACATCACCGGAAGTGTGTCAGAAGGCAACACCCACCGCTCAGACGCCACTGGACTGTTTTGGATTGCTAGCTATTGTGGGGGGGGGGACATGCAGATCTGTCCTCGCAGAGGAGGGAGAGGTTGTACCTGAATAAAACTTGGTCTTAAAGGTGCCACTGGACTGTTTTGGACTGAGGGGAGCTCTGCAACTTACCTGGCTGCTTCTTGCTCTGACTGAGGGCTGCTGGGAGCAGGGGGTGGGGCTTGTTGCATGTGCCCGCCCCCTGGGCTCTTTACTGCCGGAGCTCCGCTCCTGTGCACTCCTGCAGGAAATGACCCCTGGAGGTATTACAAAGGGAGCTTTGACTCTTGAAAACGTACACCCCAAAACTCTTGGCGTGCTACTTGACCCAAATTAAGATGGAGGAAGCCTTCACGCTCTGCTGAGTGGAGCAGTAGGATACGGCAGGATCCACCCCGGTGCCATTTTGAGACTCAAAAGGCCATGGCATTTTAAGATTCTTCTTGTGTACTTCTTTCGAATAGATTATTCTGGGAAACGTCGGTTCTGTTATCTCAAAACAGTTTATTACAGTTTGGATAAAGCATGACAGACAAGCGTTATCAGCACCGAGTTGAAATTTGGAAGTCTTGCTCGGGACAGCACCAATTAACCTATTTTCTACTCCTTGCCTTCTCACACGGGACTCCTTCAGCCAGAGGAGCTCACACTTCTGCTTATAAAGCTGAGAAGGCAGCAAGCCGAACTGAGTAGTATCCGGGAACACACATTAGCACAGCTCATGCAACTAAAACTTGAGGCCAGCAGCCCAAAGGTCAGCTATGAAATGATGTTTGTCATGTGTACCGTTTTCACTAATACCTCACCATTCATTAACCCAAGCTTGCTTTGTGCCACTGATGCCCACTTCCTCCTGTTGTAGCTTTTAGAGCGGCACTGTTGCCTTGGCAACTGTGGTGGTCTGCTATTAACCCTTTGAGCCCTGGTACAGAAGTTGAATGCATTGCAACTCAACCAAAATTAGGAAGGCTTCAAAACAGGAAGTGATTGGCCACTGTGTGAGAGAGGATGCTGGACTAGGTGGACCACTGGTCTAATCCAGCAGGGCTCTTCTTATGTTCTTAAATACGTTGCGCTTTAAAAAACCAGAGTCCACGCTTTGCCAGTTCTGCCAGTTGTACAAAATCTGAAGCCAATGATCAATACCATCTACCCCTAACAGTTCCAACAGTTATAATGGCTTCTTGTCATTGAAATTATTTGCAATTAGTACGCAAAAGGAGGAGATGCGCATAAACATTCCAAAGGGTTTATAGTTGTCTGTGTAAATTCAACATGACCATGCCAGTTTTTTCTTCATTTATAATTATAATATTATCGTTTTCATAGCTAATATGACTGAATGATTTGTACTTGCAAACCCGTGCTTTCTGAAGTGGTACAGAGTGTTTCTTGTTCTCACTGAAGTGTGTATTGGTCCTTCACCATTCTGCTGTACCAAATCTAAGATCCAGTATAGTTCTCACTTGCATTTAGAGCATTTTGACAGTTTGTGTAAAAAAAAAAAAAAGTATAACCTTAAAATACTTGCAATTAGAATATGTATATCTCTTTCTTTCCCGACTGACGTTTTCACGTATTTTCCATGTCTATCTCTTTCTCTCCCCCTCCCTTTCTGTCTTTCTTGCTAGAATGAGATTCTTTCTCATCACCTTCAGAGGAATGCCATATATTTGGACCACCAGGTGGGCTTCACAGCTTTTTCTTGTGCACTTATTTCTAGTAATACACCGAAGCTTTATTTTCCTTCATTAATCTTTTCTTCTTGTTGTTTTCGGTCCCTTTAAAGTTTTACGGGACAAATGGTTAAAAAAAAATTCTCACACTCGAGAGTACACAATTATAAGAACAGGTGCCGACCCATCCCCAAAGATAGATCTCAAAAATGGTTTCGGGGGGTGGGGGGGATAGGGTAGGAGAGTTCTGTTCTTGTACTGGTAGCAACCAGTCTTAAGAGGGCTAATTTATTTATTTATTTTATTCGACTTATGTCCCGCCCTCCCCACATGGCAGGCTGAGGGCGGGTTACATCAGATTTGATAAAAAATACAATATACACAATTAACACAATTAAAAACACTGGTAAAATACCACAATAACCTTCATCCAGTGCCGTTGTCATTGACATTAAAACCTCACAGATGCCATCTCTGGTATGCAGTTCTGACCCACTGAGGGGTGAAGCCCAGTAAAGAGGGATGTCCATCACCCTAGTTAAAAGCCTGGCGGAAGAGCTCCGTCTTGCAGGCTCGGCCGACAAATGCCATTTGGTATTTGAATGGGTTCCATTACGTACATCTTACTATTAATGTAGGATGAAAGTGCATTTTTTCAAAAGTAGTCCAAACACAAAATAATATTATTTATGATGTTCTACTTTCAGTCTACTTCACCTCTGGTATTTAACTGAGGGTTGATGCATCTTTCCCAGCTCAGTCACCTCTCTCTTTTAGGAAATCATTTTTTTCCCCTTGAAGAGCCTATCAGCTATACAGGATAAAAAGTTTAAGATATCTAATGATCATGTTTTTATACCTACCAAGGTGTCAGCGTAGCAGTTAAATGTTCATTCCACTCCCGCTCTGCTTCCTTTCCCCACATCCTCCAGTGGGGGGCAGAGCATCTATTTCACTTGATACACCGTTGATAATGGAGTATGTGTACATCTCACGCCTACACCTTTCCTCGCAGCAGAATTGACACACAGGGGCCCCGGTCACATGGAGCATTAGCCACGCTAGAGGGACGGAAGATAGGCATATTTTCCGGACGTGATCTCACCGCCACATCTGGGAAGCGTAGAGCTCCCGTGGCGAACCCAAGGCTTCCCGCCGAAGATGCGCGGTTAAAAACTAGTACCTCGGAGGTACTAGTTTCCGGTAACCACGGGGCAAGGGCGGGCGTCTGATTGCGTTTCCAGTGGTAGTTCCTGCGCCCACCCATGCCCCCTCGTATAAAGGGTTTTTTTCCCCAACTGTCCATGGGATGCGCACGAGCACCCACCGAGGCATGCGTAGACTTTGGTGTCCGGAGAAAAAAACACCCGTTTGCCGCGCCGCTTCTTTGCCGCGGCGCAGGATTGTGGTGTGCTCGGCACCTCCCCCCTACCACGGGACCTCCACGGTACGTCTGCTGGCGCAACCGCGCGTTATTTTGCCCCGGGGCAAACAGCCACGCTCCCCCCCCCCGCCTTTTCCTGCCCGTGTGCCCACGGCCAGGATTTGGGGCTGCAGACCTAACACTAGCTCTAACTGGGGTACACTATCCCCTCGTGCTGGCTGACGGAACCAGTCCCAGCTTCTGCCCATACTAGATCTCTTCCTGTTCAATATTTTTTCCCCTGCACACATTATTGGTCAATTCACTCTTCATACTACTTCCAACGTGTAGAAGAAAAAGGGGTTTTGTGCTTTGAAAAGTAGTAAAAGATTAGTTGTTCAGTTTTGTTTTTTAATTGGCTGCTAGGAAGGAAAGGCCACAATGGCTCAGAGGTTAAGCTGCTGAGCTGCAGACTGGAAGGTCTGTAGTTTGGCAGTTCGAGACCCGAGTGCTGCGTGACGGAGTGAGCTCCCGTCTCTGGCACCAGCTCCTGCCAACCTAGCAGTTCAAAAGCATGAAATTGCAAATAGGTGAATAGGTACCGCTTTGGTGGGAAGGTAAACAGCGTTCCGTACACCTCGGCATTTAGTCATGCTGGCCACATGACCACAGAAACGTCATCAGACAACGCTGGCTCTTCGGCTTTGAAATGGAGATGAGCACCATCCCCTAGAGTCAGATTCGACTAGGTTTCGAGCGAGGGAAACCTTTACCTTTACTTAGGAAGGAATGCAGTTGACATAGGCTACTAGTATATGTATGCTCTCTTTTCAGGTCACTGGTTTTTATCCTATGTAAGTAAGCTTGATAAGGAAACTGTTTTAGGAGTAGAATGTAGGATTAAACCTGGGCTCATAAATGAAGGGCCAGAGTATATGTTATGGCTTGCGTACAAGTTGGGCATGGACCCAACTAACCTTTCCTACAGTCACACAGTACCTGTGGGCAAATGCCTTTTTAAAACTCCTAGGAGCCCGACTCAGGATGACAGTGTAGGGGGAGGAGGAGATTTTGGCTCTGTCCCCTGCCTGTTTTCCTGAGCTGAAATAGTCAGGAGCAGTGTTCCCTCTAAGCTGAGTTAGTGTGAGCTAGCTCACAGTTTTTTAGCCTCCGGCTCACACATTTTTGTCTTAGTTCAGGAAGGATGGCTCCACAGCAAACTAATATATGCAGCAGCCCAATCGCTCGCTCACAACTTTAATGCCAGCAGCTCACAAAGTAGAATTTTGGTTCGCAAGACTCCACAGCTTGGAGGGAACATTGGTCAGGAGGGGGCAGTTTGCCCATCTTTGGTGCTGTACGTGCACAGAATGCCTCACGTAGATCCAGCTCATCAGAAAAAGTGACGTGTCATTTGTTCCAAAGGCACTCTCCATTTCATTGTAACCATAGCAAACTTTATTCACACACACTGATAAACCTGCCGGTTTGCTTCACCGTGAAACTTTGCTGAGACTTAATTCAGTTTCATACTACCTGCAGTCCTTAAATTTGACTTGACATGCTCAAAGCTGAACCACAGTTAGATCCATATAATGCATGTGGTTTAACTTACTCTACAATGGCAGTGCCCTGACCTGCGTGGCCCCAAGCTAGCCCAGTTTCATCAGATCTCAGAAACTAAGCAGGGTCAGCCCTGGGTAGTACTTGGATGGGAGACTGCCAAGGAAGTCCAGGGTTCCTATGCAGAGGCAGGCAATGGCAAACCACCTCCGTTCATCTCTTGCTTTCAAAACCTGCAGGGTTGCCACAGGTCGGCTGCAGGTCGACAGCACTGTCCACCACCGCAGCTGCAGCAAAGTCAGCACTACGGTGGGGCACTTGGGGGCTCGGCCTCCTTTCTTAAAGTCACAGCCCCACAAGAATTTCTCCTGGAAATGCTGTTTTCAATCATTTTAAAACATTTCTTAGAAGGCATGCACTCCTTTAAGCAGAGTGGGGTGCTGTAGTTAACTAATTCCTGCACTGAGCAAGGGGGTTGGAGTAGGTGACCTCTAGGATACCTTCTAACTCTGTGTCAAGAAACTGGTCTCCTTTCAAAGAGTTTTTCTGGCAAAGGATTAGCTTTCTTGACTACAGAAGTCATCACCCCCACCTGCCAGCTTGTTATCAGAATTGTTGCTTAAGCTGGTAGAAGAGATTAACTAGCAGCAGCTGAGAACTGTCATCTAAAGTGGTTGACAGCCTGCAGTTTAGAGATCTTTCCTGGTAACAGCTTTATATTGACTAAATGGTTAATAGGCTAAGGGTGATTGCTAGTATAAGAACACTTATGTAGAACATAAGAACATAAGAGATGCCGATGTTGGATCAGGCCAAAGGCCCATCCAGTCCAACACTCTGTATCCCACAGTGGCCAGAAATACCAGGTGCCATCAGGAGGTCCACCAGTGGGGCCAGGACATTAGAAGCCCTCCCACTGTTGACCCCCCCCCCAAGCACCAAGAAGACAGAGCATCACTTGCCCCAGAGCCCCTATCTATACCTTGTGGCTAATAGCCACTGATGGACCTCTGCTCCATATTCTTATCTAATTCCCTTTAGAATGGACAGCTTGAGAAGACAGAGAAGAGTAGCTGATTCAGAATCCTCAGAATTCTGGCTTTTGTTTCTGCACTGAGAACTTCAGCCCCACCAGAAAAAAAATTTTGCCCCACAAGCCACAGAATCCTGGCTACGGGCCTGTTGCTGGATTTGTGTCTGTCTTTGGGCAAACCTGGTGCAACATTCAATTGCGAGTTTACATTGATTTTCGTCCTTGGCCTTTAACACAATTCTGAGCGAACTGTTCGTCCGATGGCCGTTGACAATTAATTGAATACTGCCAGCGAAATCCCCATTAACCCGGCACCATTTCTCATGCTGGTATTTAACACCGCCTGTGACTATCAGCAGCACTTCTTCCATAAGAGCAAACAACTCTGAAAATTCTCATCTTCCCTGTTCTTGTCATGTAGGAATCGATAGCCAAAATAACAGTCGAATTTTAGATTTTAGCTAGACAACCGGATCGAGAGTCTCTGCAGACATAAGAACTCTGCACATAGGAAGCGCCCGTGTTGTATTTCCCGCAGTACTGGGGACAGCTACATTCACGCGTTTGACCCTGCTGTTGCAGCCACTGGAGCAATTCATTCTGTCTGTGAATTCTGTTTGTAGACTAGAAATATAAATGGAGTTTAGGATTTCGGATAGTGTCTTATATATACACAGAACCCTGATCCTTGCTTTTTTGGCAGCTGTTACCACAAGACGTGGCACATCCGCATTCTGCTGAATTGTCACTACATTGTTTTCAAAGGCACTTTGTAACGTTTATGGTTTTATGCGCTTGATTCAGTGTAGTGATGTGAAACCGTAACATAAGCCCATGAGGGAAAGAAGGAAAAACTGCTGTCTGCCTGACCATTATGACGATCTTAATTATCTTGCATGGTGCAATAGAGTAGCCCCAAGAAAGAAAAAATGCATAACCGGTTTTGCGAAGGTTATAATTGCTCCCCACAAATTCCTGCTAATCAAAATTCCACTGGGGGGCTGGATGAAATTTGACTTGACTGAATTTACGACAACATTAGCTTGTTCCAGACAAATTTGGAGAAACCGTTTTGTTCTTCAAGGCTTTCTTCTGCCGCATTGTCTGTAAGGTGCTCAAAAGGGTTTTAGTCCACACTTTTTCATATGGTGCCCAAGAGAAGTACCCAATGGATTCTGCCCTTCTAAATGTTTTAATCTCCCGCTGAAAAGCAACTCGCCATCCCTTAGAACAAATTTAGAGTCCGGTAGCGCCTTTAAGACCAATAAAGGTTTATTCAAGGTATGAGCTTTTGTGTGCAAGGCATAAACCTTTGTTGGTCTTAAAGGTGCCACTGGACTCTAAATTTGTTCTACTGCTTCAGACCAAAATGGCTGCCCACCTGGATTTTTTACCATCCTTTAATTTCACTTTCAAATGGCTCAAGGGCCCCGGTCACACGAGAGGTTTTGGGCCGGGAGAGGGATGGATCGGGGCCGCAGCAAACAGGCGCGATCCCACCGCAACATCTGGGAAGCGTTGTGCGCCCGTTCCCGATCTGGCCCTTCCGCCCAAAACCCCGCAGCAAAAATGAACCACCTACCATGGTGGTTCATCCGGGAAGACCGCATCAAAGCCGGCCGTGGGATCGCCGGCGCGTCCTTCCGCCGGCACATCCCCGGCGCCTGGCCAAACTACGCATGCTCACACATGCGCAGTTCATCTCACACATGCGCAGTTCAGCAGGCTCCCCCTCCCGACGGTAGCTTCCTCCCCGGCATCTGATCGTGCCGGGGAGCAACGGCGCCGCAGCTCAGGGGATTCGTGGGATCCCGCCGTGGCGTCTCTACTTTGGTGCGGCTCTCATTTGCCACACTTTGGCCGATATTTTCCCTGCCGTGTGGCAGGGACCAAGGGCTTGCAAAGTGCAACCCAGGACATAATGGAGGCCGAAAACACTGCCAAACATTGCCCCATGTTGTGGCCTCACACATCTCCTATACACCCACCTCCTTCCTTAGCTAGAAATATCTTGGTCCAATTACCAAAGCGCAAGTTTTATCTTATGTTTGTCACATGGCTTGTGTAAGAAACTGACATTAGCCAGTCGATCCCCGCATAGCTGGATGAGTGAATTCAGCGGTAAGTACAATCCACAAGGTGGCTCTCAAGATGGCTTCCAGATATAAATCAGCATATTCCCATGAGACACATTAAAATGCACATGCAGCGTTTTAATTGGATCTGTAGCTTTCAAGGCTCACTTCAATAAGCATGGATTCTCTTCCATTTAAATGGGATTTGCAAGCCGATTGAAATCAGTATTCAGAAACAGTGATTGGTAGCTGCTTCAGCAGCTCCTCTCCAAATGTATCGTTGACTTTTTTTCCTGAACGGTGGGTGTTGGATCCAACCCTTCTGTGAGGAGAGCAAGTGGGTTGGATCCCCCCAGTCCACAGACGCAAGGCTCACGGATCTTTTCTCCCCCCCCCCCCCCCCAGCATTCCTTTCCAACTCTTGAAAAGTTTGCATTCTGCCGGTGGGAAGAGAGCATGGGAAAGATCCATGACCATCACCACCTTCTGCTGACAGGTTGCGGGACGCAGCTCAGTATGTGGGACAGATCTGTGCTGCCTTCTCTTTCCCAGCAGTAGCCCTTTGCATTCCCCCCGCCCTCCAGAAACACCATTCCTCAAGGTTTGGTAACTCTTGGGAACAGAGTAGGAGAGGACTGGACTGGGAGAGCAAAGGCGGTAAAAAAATTGCTTGCATAATCTCGTCCTGTTCACCGGGTTGCATCCAACTTGGAGTGTTTTTTTAAAATGTTTTGAATAGTGCTTCATATAAAGAATTGCTATCTAGTCATGCAAATTGTTAAATGTGAAAAAGAAGGTTTTTACAGGGCACATTTAGAGCTGGGTAAATGTCATATGTCAGTGGTTAAGACGCTGAAGTGCAGGCTGTGGAAGGTCGGTAGTTAAGCAGTTCGAGACCCGAGTGTGCTGCATGACGGAGTGAGCTCCTGTCTCTAGTTCCAGCTCCTGCCAACCTAGCAGTTCGAAAGCAAGAAATTGCAAGTAGATAAATAGGTACCACTTCGGTGGGAAGGGAACAGCGTTCCGTGCACCTTGGTGTTTAGTCATGACCACGGAAACGTCTTCGGACAGCGCTGGCTCTTCGGATTCGACTGGCTTTCGAGCAAGGGAACCTTTACCTAAATGTCATATATATTGGGGTGGGGGATGGTTGTATTCACATCACACTCTTTTTCTGAAAACCATAAATGTCTTCGGTAAATCTCTGACATGAGCATTCACTGTCTAGAAAGGTTGAAATTGTCATTTTACCCATTGTAAAAGCTGGCAGTAGAATCATTGGCCTAAGATGTTGACTGTACAATATTCCTGTTCCTCCATGCCACAATATAGTCGCGGCTTGTCCCAAACCAACAGACTTATTTTTCCTTTGGGGGGGGTATGAAGAAAAAAACAGTGCCCCAAGATCAGAATAGCAATTCTCCATATAATAATCCTCAAATTCGCACAGTAAAAATTTGGAGTTGACCACCTATGCAAAATCCAGTCCCCATATTGACAGTCTTTTACTCTTCTGACAGTGACCTCCTAAGCAGTTGACTTACATGGATGTCGAAGGAGGGAACTCTGCTTAGGTGTCATAAGAACAGAAGAGAAGCCGATGTTGAATCAGGCCAATGGCCCATCCAGTCCGGCACTCTGTCACATAGTGGCCAAAAATACCAGGTGCCATCAGGAGGTCCAGCAGTGGGACCAGGACACTAGAAGCCCTCCCACTGTTCCCCCCCCCAAGCACCAGGACTACAGTGCATCCCTCGCAACACTTAGATCCCCAAAGAAATGGTCCCAGCTGTTCTAGTGTTACCATATTCTGAAAAGCAAAGAAGAGGACATATTTCCCGACCGACTACTTCAAACAAGTGATCGTATCACTATGACAAATCTCATTTGAAATACCCCTCCTGTTGAAGCGGTGATCATTGCTGGTTGACTAGGAATATTCCTAATCTTCCAACCTAAAAAGAGGACATTTTCAGCAGTTTTTTTTTAAAAGAGCCCAAAAGAGGACAGGTGCAAAAAAAAGAGAGAGAGAGAGAGAGGTAACCCTAAGCTGTCCTGTTTTGTGCCCCAAAGAGTAACAACCCCAAGACAGTTCAAATACGTGTTACATTCTTTGAATCTGATAATGTATCTGGCTTTTTTTAATCTGGTACTTTATCTGTATTATCCATATTTAATTTTTTTTTTTAAATCCAAAATGCCTGTTTGTGATATGAGTTGCTTAGTGGCCCAGGTTGTAGGTTGTTCTAGTTTGGCCTTACTAGTTTTTGTTCTGTTGTTGTTGTTGTTTTTTTAAAAAAATGTACAGTTTTGTTAAGCATGAGAGGAAATATGAACTGCTGCACTAATTAGAAAACGATTGAAGTAGAGGCTATATTTACAGTGTCGTCTTTCAAATCTAGCTGTGCTGTAAACTGATGTTTGCTGTATGCTCCTCCTGATTTGAAATAGATGAAAGAGAATGAACCTTTAATCATCATGGTTCACACTATGATTGAGAACTCGGCGCTAAGACCACAACTGTACCATCAAGTAAGGTCTTGGATAGTGAATGAAATTGCTTTCTTTATCATCTGCAAATTTTTTTCCCCCTTCAGTGACAGTTTTTGGTTGTCGTCCCCCTCCAGTTTACCCATAACATTGGTGTTCCTCCTATTTGTTTTGGAAAAACCACGAGTCATCCGTGCTTTATAAAAACGCTGCAATGTCGTTAGCATGGCTTTGCTGAACGTTACTTGTCATTTGACTATTGAGTGTACTCCTTTCGGATAAATTTCCTGTTCAAGACTATTTGGCAAGCTGCTATTGTCTGCAGGGAGAATCCAGTCGATTCATTTTTTAAAAAAAAATGCCAACAAGCTTCCAACGTGTGTCTTAGCATGGACTGATGCAATTCATTCTCTCCACCCCACCCCACCCTGAAACGTCTTTATTTTGGCTTAACGCAAAAAGCATGCCAGCCGTGTTTACCTTGTCATTTCTGGCGGCTTCTCATTTTAGGAATGGAATTACAAATTGGTGTAGGTTCTTAGACAGCTTTGTTTATTTATTTCCCCCCTTTTCAGCCCTTGGGAGTTTAAAAGGATCAAATTCATTTTGATCCGGGGCCTCTAGCTCCTAAGTGCGGTGCATTCCAAAAGTCACAGCAAACAAAGTCAGTATCAAGTCATAATAAAAATGATCAGAGGGGAAATATGCTGAATGGAAATATAACATCCATGTGTCTAGAACGCCACTGGTGAAATAATTTGTCCTGGAAAACATGCAGATGCCAACGGATATGACCGTATTATCCAGTAAAATGTTCTCTTTTTTTAAAATCTGATTTTTTTTGTATCTTAAGTAATTTTGTATCCTAAGTAAATCCTAAGTAATAGCAGTGGGTTGGATCGTTCCTAGAATTCTGTTGGCATGGGAAGGGCAGCAGCCGTCAGCGACCCCCTGAAAATGCTGCTTTTGGGGGACAGGGGACCCCAAGAATAGTTTGGGGGAATCAGAGGTCTCCCACTTGGGGGAGGGGGAGATTGACAGAAATGATCCTTTCTTCTTGCACCCGAAATGTGAGATCCAAACCACTGCTTTTAGAACTTATAAGCTCCGGGACTGTAGCTCCCAGCACCAAGTAGCCTTGACTGCCGCATAAAGATGCTGACTCCCAGTCTTGGTGAATGGACACAGGATACAAACGTTGGCAGAGACAGCTTCGGTCATCACAGCTATGATGGGAGAAGCTGCGCCTGCCAACCATTTGCCCACTAAGCAGCTGTTAAAGACTTGGTGGCCTTGCCAACAGCAGCTTCAAAACTGCACAGTAGAGAGAACAGTACGGTGCCTCATCCAAATAGGGAACAACGATGAAATGTGCTCTGTGCCATTATGAATTTTGCTCAAACATGTGCTTCGTTAACTTTTTAAGTTAACATTCTTCCCCCCCCCCCTGTCCTTTCCATCATGAATTGTTGGTTTTTTTGCATAAGTTTTGGGGGAAAGAAGAAACAGCATGAAATCTTCTCGAAACGAGGGGGGAAAACATATTGGGTTCCTTGGCCGCCGTTCGGCTGAGACTAGGGAATGTGTCAGTCGGTTCCAGCCAAATTTGTTTCCCATCTTATTTGCCAAAGGAAAGTAAAATCACTCAGAAAAGCTGTGCAAGCTGGAACGAGAAACATAAGAAGCCCTTCACGCAGACAGAGAGAGCTTTTGGTCGTTTTGTGTAACTACCCAATTATTTTTGTCTCACTTTTCATCAGGGTGAAAGGAATGGAATTACATTTCTTCATGTACACTGGGTTAACCCCGTGGTTGATTCGGTTTGGGAGGGGATGGAACTGCCTTGCTGTTCCCGGATGCCCAATACTGTCTAGAAAGCCTTTCGAGGGCCCCGCATTTGCATGACAGCCCTGGTTGGGGGAAGGGGAGTTGTTCTTACTGCTTTTGATTTTGTGTGTGCACTACACAGATCACAAACCGCCTCTGCCCCTCTCTTACCTTGAACACCCTATGGTTGGGGTCACCATAGGGTTACCAGCTCCAGGTTGGGAAATACCTAGAGATTTTGGGGGTGGAGCCTGGGGAGGGTGGGTATTGGGGAGAGGAGGGACTTCAGTGAGGTATAATGCCATAGAGCCCACCTTCCCAAGCAGACATTTTCTCCAGGTGAACCGATCTCTGTCACCTGGAGCTTAGTTGTGATTCTGGGAGATCTCCAGCTAGCACCTGGAGATTGGCAACCCTAGGTTACCATGAGTCAGTTGCAACTTGACAGCATTCTCTCCCCCTCTCCCGCTCAAAAATCAGATTGTGAAGGAAGTGGCTTCCACCCTACCATCTTCATTAATGTAAGAAACATCTTTAGGGATATGTAAATGCTAATTTGGAGAAGACTGTCTCTGGCCTTTTCCAGTTCATAAAACCACATCCCGAGTCACCGAACCTTATTCTGAAACATTCCTATAGGATTTAAAATAGCTGGAAATACCTTACGAATCATTCACAGTGACAGCTGAAGAAAGAAACGGAAACTGGTGCAAAGGGAAGGTCTACACCCGGACCAGCTGGTGCCTTCAATTAATGGAAAGTTCTTCTTCCTTCCATCTGTCCGCACATAGCACGTTCTTCCTCGCGGACCCAAAGCTTGCTTTTGGTTTTGAAAGTTTCGATCCTCCTAATGATTCGGGGGGGGGGGGGACATTCAAAACCTTGTTTATGAATTCAAGAGCCTTCTTCGGGTGGCATTGCACGTTCTTAGGTTGCTGTTTAAAATAGGTATGTAAGCTGCAAAGTGCAGGTAACTGAAAAAGAAATCAGCGGGCAACCACTGACCGCACGGGAGGTCCATGTAATGCATGGAAGCTCCAGCCTAACGGTGAACGTAATACGACCCGTCGTGAGCCCACAACTGCTTGGGGCTGGGGAAACAAGCACTCTGCTGCTGGTGTGGCTAGAGCCCCCAGACCTCACGGACAGCCGCTACACAATGCTTGATTGTAGCCAAAAGGCCAAGAAGCTAGATGAGGGTGATCTGGTTATTTATTTTATTTATTTATTTGTTGAATTTATACCCCGCCCTCCCCCGTAGGGCTCAGGGCGGCTTTGTTGTGACACCTGTCACCCCACTGATAGCCAGGATAGGTTTGGCAGATCTGGCTTACAAGGCAGGTGTCCCCTTCCTCCCTCACCACTCCATACGCATCCCTCCCGAAACTGCATGCTCCGTAGAGGGGGCGACCCTCCCAGATAGGTGTGTACCATTCTTCAGTCAAGGAAAGGACAGCTACTGTTTGTTTAATTCTTCTGTATCCCACCTCTCTCCCCATTGGGGGACCCAAAACAGCTCACATCATTCTCCTCGCCTCCATTTTATCCTCGCAACAACACTGTGAGGTAGGTTTGGCCAAGAGTGTGTGACTGGCCCGAGGTCACCCAGAGAGCTTCCGTGATATGAATGGGGATTCCAACCTGGGTCTCCCAGATAGTGGGCCAACACTCTTAACCTCTGCACCGCACTGGCTCTTTGGGAGACGTCTGTCAAAGTTCACTTTTGAGACTTCTAAACCCAAAAAGAAATCTTTCTCTGAAAGCGCTGCTCATGAGGCTTAGATCGATTTTTTAATTTTGTACCTGTGAAAGGGAAACACATTATGACACTAAGAACATAAGAGAAGCCAATGTTGGATCAGACCAATGGCCCATCCAATCCAACACTCTGTCACACAGGGGCCAAAAATACCAGGTGCCATCAGGAGGTCCAGCAGTGGGGCCAGGACACTAGGAGCCCTCCCACTGTTGCCCCCCCCCAAGCAACAAGAAGACAGAGCATCACTTGCCCCAGGCTGAGAGTTCCTATCTATACCTTGTGACTGATAGCCACTGACGGACCTCTGCTCCATATCCTTTTCCCTCTTGAAGCTGTCCATGCTTGTAACCACCACGTCCTGTGGCAGTGAATTCCATGTGTTCATCACTTTTTGGGTGAAGAAGTACTTCCTTTTATCCATTCGAACCCGACCGCTCAGCAGTTTCATGGAGTGCCCACAAGCTCTTGTATTGTGAGAAAGGGAGAAAAGTACTTCTTTCTCTACCTGCTCTATCCCACGCATAATCTTATAAACTAAAATACTGCAGAAGAGGTGTGGGCCTCTTCCTCTACCCATCCTATATTTTCCACATTCCCCATTTTCCATGTCCGAGTAGCTTGGAAACTATAATGTCTCCTTTCGCCGAACAAGCAAAACATTTCATGGAACGAGCTGGAAAAGAGGGTATTTTGGTAATTGCTTCGCGAGTTAACTTCCCACATCTGCTGTTGCTGCCAGCTTAAACTCCCCTCGAAGCACACATCCAAAATCAGAATCATATGATCCTTGTTATTAAGACCATCCGAATCACAGTATACAATATTTCAATTCTCCAAAAGTCTTCGTTCGACTACTGGTTTTTACGGTTTTCAACTGGGCACTTCCATTTCCTCTTCTTCCCAGAAGACCAAAGGCACCAGCTTCACCCAGCAACATTTTATTTATCCAAATTGGCAAGTCAGTTCTACACGGGTACAAACAAGAAGCCTTAGAATCGTGGCCTGAAACATTTTTTTTCCAAACTCTGTCTTCTCCTTTTTGGTTTAACATCCACCCTTATAAAGAGTTCTGATGAACTTGAAAGCATGCACTTTTCAGTTGGTTTTGGTTGCTCTCAAAAATTGTATTGCATGTCTTTTCTTACTAGATTTTTCCTTGGACCGTTGTGGCTACCTGCCCTTGTCTGTTTTGGAAACACGTGTGTATTGGGTGCAAAGACCCATGCAGGTACCTTTGTACAATAATAGCTCTAGAGTTCAGTATGTGCTAAGAAGAAGAAGAGATTGGATTTATACCCCGCCCTTCACTACCCAAAGGTGTCTCAGAGCGGCTTACAGACTCCTTTCCCTCCCCCTTCCCACAACAGACACCCTGTGAGGAAGGTGGATTTATACCCTGCCCTTCACTTGAAGTCTCAGAGCAGTTTACAAATTCCCATCCCTTCCCCTCCCCACAACAGACACCATGTGAGGTAGGTGGGGCTGAGAGAGCTCTGACAGAAACTGCTCTTTTTCAAGACCAGCTCTTATCAGAGCTATGGCTTGCCCAAGGTCATCCAGCCAGGTGCAAGTGGAGGAGTGGGGAATCAGACCTGGTTCTCCCAGATTAGAGTTCGCGCACTTAACCACTACACCAAACTGGCTAAATATCCTCACAGCTAAAATTCTGTTTCTGGAGCACCCGGGAGAAACTTGTGTACAGCAAAACCACCTTGCCATGAGAGATGGAGGCTCTTGTATTAGAGCACAAGTTTGTGTAGGAAGGTGGTTTCTGTAGGACACCGAGTGGCACTGTACCTTCTGAGTCATTAACCTAAACTGATAATGTTCAACTGAATAAGCCAACGTTGAACTGAGTTAGTAGAAAAGAGCAAGAGTCCAGTAGCACCTTAAAGACTAACAAAATTTGTGGCAGGGTCTGAGCTTTCTTAGGGCCTCGGCGGCTCAGAGGTTAAGACACTGACACTGCAGACCGGAAGGTCTGTAGCTCAGCAGTTCGAGCCCCTAGTGCCGCATGACGGAGTGAGCTCCTGTCTCTGGCCCCAGCTCCTGCCATCCTAGTAGTTCGAAAGCAAGAAATTGCAAGTATGTCTTTTCTTACCACGGCAGAAGTACGACTTCAGTGGGAAAGTAACAGCATTCCGTGCGCCTCGGCATCTAGTCATGCCGGCCACATGACCACGGAAACGTCTTAGGACCAATGTTCCCTCTAAGCTGTGGAGCCCTGTGAGCAAAAATTCTACTTTGTAAGCTACTAGCATTAATGTTGTGAGCGGGTGATTTGGCTACTGCATAAATAAGTTTGCACTGTAGCCATCCTTCCTGAGCTAAGACAAAAATGTGTGAGCCAGAGGCTAAAAAACTGTGAGCTAGCTCACATTAGCTCAGCTTAGAGGGAACAGTGCTTAGGACAGCACTGACTCTTCGGCTTGGAAACGGATATGAGCACAGCCCCCTAGAGTCGGATTTGACTAGCTTTCCAACAAGGGAAACCTTTACCTTTTACCTTTATGAGCTTTCTTGAGTCACTGCTCCCTTCTTCAGATAAACTTTGAAATGAATTATCTGAATTTGCTCTCAAATACAATTTGAAATGCACCGGTTCTCCCTTTGGGGGGGTTAAAAGGATGGAAGCCTTCGCCCCCTGTCTTTCGGCCAAAGTCTGATATGTTGGAGTGCTTTCTCCTTGATCCTTCGGTCAACCCTGACAGTCTTTGAGAGCTGTCTTACAGGTTTTCAGACAGTTCAGCAGTTGACGTAGTTCCCGCAGTCGCCCTGATGGTCATCTGAAGGTGTCCAGTGGGTTTGTGTCCTGTAGATCACGTGCAGAAGAGACGGTGCGGTCTTTCTGCTTAAAGAGATCAGTTGCGCTCGGTTTTCCATCTTCCGGTAGTCCTTGCTTGTCACAAAAGCATTCTGGGACAAACTGTAGGTCAAACTGGCTGGGCCTTGGGTCTTTTCCATTTTAGATGTGCACCCAGTCGCAGGTGAGGCATGAGCCCATCCTGAAGCATGCTGCTGCACACGACAAGAAGAACCAAGAGAGATAACGCTCGTTCAGACAAGTATGCCTGCCATTATTGATGTTCCATCCAAAGCATCCCTGGTAACCTTCCAAGAAACTCCAGACTTGCCCAGAACACAGTTTGAAAGCTACCAAGATAGACGATTGCCTCTTAGATCTTTGATTAGCTTCTGGCACCTTTTCAACCTTCTAGATATGCATTGCTTTTTTTTTCAGTCTACGGTATCGGAGAGAATAGTAATATTATGTGACTCTAGGCATCGTCTCTGTTTTAAAGGATGGCTTCTGCAGTCCTAAGTATGTAGCACCATAAGGTTGAACAGGGCGTATCAATTTTTTAAAGAACTGAACAGCCATTTTTAAAGAAACATATCGTATATCATCTTCGGAGGAAGGCAGGTGGTGATCAGTGGTATGCCGGGAAGGCAAGCCATTTGGGGAGATTTTCAGCATTGCCTCCGTCCCCATTAAAAAATTGAACCAACACTTAAGCATCTTTTAAGAATGTACACCAGGAGTCCCCAGAGTGGTGCCTGAGAGTGTCCCGGTGCCTACCGATACCTTTCCTGGTGCCCATCAAATGTTTTTAGAAAGTGGGTGGGACCAGGTGGGGCTTTTGCCAAGCGAGGTTTCTGATTGGCCACTGGAGATTTGATTGTCTGTGCGGATTTTTTTTTAAAAAAATGTGGCTTTGGCAACAGTGCCCCCACAGCGCAAGCATCTTTGCTGTGGTAGCCATTTTGTGGTCCGCTCCGCCTCCTGCGTCGGCCATTTTGTGGCTGCACCCACCTCCACCCTGTATCAGAATTCCAAAGGTGCCCACAGGCTCAAAAAGATTGGGAACCCCTGATGTACACATTCACATCGCAGTGCTTGAAAATAAATGCATTTGTCTTTTTTACTGTTGTGACCTGGGTCAAGTTCACGTTGGCCATGTTTGAGCATATACTTTTCTTTTTTAAAAAATATTTCCATTCTTCAGTTCTTTCTCCTGCCAAGATGGAATCTGTAATAGAGATTCAAGTGGTGTTAAAAAAAAACCCCAAAAAACGAGCGAGCCCAGCGAGGTACCAAACTCTCTAGATCGTACCAAATTAAAAACACGTGACCTTCATGACGTGCAAAGATGCTGTGGCTTCTTCACCCTCTGGCGTTCATTTTCCATTCAATGTTCATTCCAACGAAAGGTTACTCAATGTGGCTTTAATTACACGGCGCATACACTCCGATCGCCACCCAGTGCATTTGCATGAGGCTGCGCCTTGAAACGAGACACTGTAGAAAAATCTTCTGGAGATCGGATTCTGTGGTTGGAATGCTTGTGTGGCTAACCCCGCCTCATCCTTGCATTCGAGGTTCTCCCTTAAAACCAGAGAGAAGGCTTTCACCGTCTTACTGTGTGCATGCATGTGAAGGTGGGAAGGAGCGTGGGCGTGGAAATAAGTGCGCTTTGACGCCGGTGAACTGTCAAATGCTTGTGTCCATAGCCAGTGCAGATGCAGCGGCCCCAATTTCCTAACCATGGTTTTGGGAGTAGGAGCATGCCGTGGTCTTGCCGATTTCCCCCCTCCCCTCCCCATGTTTGCTTTCACCGTGGTGTAGTGTTTTGTCTTCATTGGCTTTGGTCGTAGCTAATGCTCAACAGATTCTCTTGCCACTAAGGTCTGCAAATCCTGGGTAGTGGTGGTGGTTGTTTTTCACAATACGGTTACCAGGACAATGTTTTTTAGCCCTTATGCTACGTCATGGTTAAAGTTTCACGTGGGTAGCCATGCTGGTCCACGGCAGAAGAGCCAGTTTCGAGTTCAGCAGCACCAGGGTCTAAGCTTCCGAGAGTTAAAGCTCTGTTCATCAGCTGTCCAACAGAGGAAACTTTGTCTCTCGTACGCTCATGCCCTGGAAATCTTGTCCGTCTTTAAGGTCCTGCTGGACTCAAAACTGGCTCTTCTGCCACGGACGAACAGCTAAAGTGAACCATGGTGGGGGAGACAGCCCAATTCTACAGCATGCTCTTGACCTAACCATGTTTAAGAGACCGGGGGGGGGGGTGTTGTTGTAAGGGGGCCAGTGTCCGATTTGTGAGTACACAGGGAAATGAATAAGCTCAAATGGGTATCCAAATAAACCTAATCAGAGATTTTTGGGGTTTTTTAAGTGCTTTGCCAATAATGTAAAAGCAGGTGGTGGCATAATAAATTGTCTTGGTATTTCCTTGTCTTCAAGACTGCAAGTTGACATTTACATTAAGCCGCCAAATAGAACGGCAGCTCTAACCTTGATAGAGAAGCAGTTAGTGACCACAGTTAACAGTGGGGACATATACTTGGACAATCAGATTAGAGAGTCTCAGGTGTCTGGCTTTTAGGTATCTGAATATGTTTTTCCAGCCTGGGGGGGGAAATAACCTTTAATCATTCACTGTTTGAATTATCTGTTTTCCCTTCCCTGCGGCCTCTTATCAGCATACCCTTGTGTGAATGTTACTTTCCCTTTATCCAAATTCCTGCACATGTGGACTTAGCTGTGTATCACCCAGACTGTTTGGATAAAGGAGTCAGTAGTACAGAGCTGTAACTATTGTGTCAGAAAACCTTATTTACAAAAAAACAGGGATGAGAGAGTTGTAATGAAATAACCAAACGTGCATGATGTAGGAGTGTGCATTTGTGGTTTTCAGTATTGTGTAGTCTTAACAGGAAAGTCTGTTTCTAGTTTATCAGGGTAATAGATGAGATAGAAGCAGGATGGGGGGGTTCTGCACTCTCACCTAGGAATTTATTCATTTTAATGGCATGATATGAAGCAAGTTGGATGAGGATCCTGTTTGAGTCCACTCCTTTAACTGGATGTCTTGATAGTCTCGTTGGACCATTGTCAAAACTCAAGAATCCATTTAGAGGGAAGGATTTTGAATATCTCAAATTGGAAGTAATTCCAGCCTCAGCTCTGATTAAATTTTAATGGCAAGAGTACAGACCAACTTCTGTACCCTTTCCCGCCTTCTGACATCCATATCGGCATTCTGTTAGGAGGCAGGATTGACACGGTGTGTGTTGATTAAACGCACTCGGGCCTATTATGTGCTTAACATTCAATCGGAAGTAATTTATGCTTAATTAAATGTTAACTTTAGGATGAACAGTGTTCTGCGTGATTCCGGAGAATTTGTTTGATGGTTGTGTTCTTCCTTATTATAGCTGTCACAAGATGAATGTCGGGGTACTTTGTACAAATACAGATCGTGCTGGATATTGACGTAAGTAGTGTGAACTGGCTGCATGCCAGATTGGTATGCTTGCGGGCTGCTCTGATTTCAGCAGGCATGTTTTACCCATGTAAAAACAGGCTCATGCCATCTGGGTCTTAAGCTCGCTCTCTCTCTCTCTCTCTCTCTCTCTCTCTCTCTCTCTCTCTCTCTCTCTCAGCTGGTTCCTCTGGAGAGCGTAGAGGCCTTCCCCTGAGGTTGCCTCCTGGCATTCAGAAGTTTACTGCTTCCGAATACGGAGGTTCCTCTCAGTCACCATGGCTAGTAGCCACTGATAGACCTCTCCTCCATGAATCTGTCTAATCCCCTTTTCAAGCTCCTGTGCCTGTGGCCATCACTACATCCTCTGTCAGCAAACTCCACATTTTAGTCACTCTCTGTGTAAAGGAATGTTTCCTTTTGTTCATCCTGAACCTACTGCCCATCAGCTTTATTGGATGCCCTCAAGTCCTACTAGTTTGGTGTAGTGGTTAAGTGCGCGGGCTCTAATCTGGGAGAACTGGGTTTGATTCCCCTACTCCTACACTTGCACCTGCTGGATGACCTTGGGCAAGCCATAGTTCTGATAAGAGCTGTTCTTGAAAAAGAGCAGTTTCTGTCAGAGCTCTCTCAGCCCCACCTACCTCACAGGGTGTCTGTTGTGGGGAGGGGAAGGGAAAGGAGTTTGTAAGCTGCTCTGAAACTCCTTTGGGTAGTGAAGGGCAGGGTATAAATCCAATCTCTTCTTCTTCTACTACTATTTGGGAGAGGGAGAAAAAGTTATCTTTGCCAACTCTCTCCACCCTCTAACATGTCCCCCCTTAACTGTCTCTTTTCTAAACTGAAAAGTCCCAGACTCCTCAGCCTTTCCTCATATATGAAGAGGAATTGTTCTGATGCACAATTTGACATGATTATCTTGTTTTGGGGGTACAGTGAATAGTCTGGGAGTATCTAGTGCTGTAGAGTTTGCTAAGCTGGGTTGAAGCTGACCAGCAACCTTGATGGGAAGCCAGCGGGGAGTGCCATATAAAAGCAAAATAGTAGACTTTTTCGTTTGTTGACCATCTTGTATGTTATATACGAGGAGCATATAAAATTTAGCACTGTAGTGAGATTGAGATTACTGTATCTAAGTTCTTTTTAGATATTTCCAGTGTCCAGGTCGTCCTATCCCAAGCCTTCAGGGATAGTGTTGTACAATACAAAGAGAGTTACAACCCACAGGGACACAGTCTATGCTAGACAAAGCGACCCATTCACTTGAGTCAACCATTACAAAATAGGCCACCATAGTGATGGAGGGGAGGAAATGCACAACTGAATATCTCAGCACGAAATCATGTTCGTCGTATTGCCCCCAACTCCTTACAATGCACGTGTTAGCTGGTTGAATGCTGCGAAATAAATACGCGTGGCCACCTCACACACGGTGGGGGGGTCACCATTTCCGCAGCCCTAAGTTGAACATGGATAAATACACATGGAGCTCTCTGTGTGTGCTGTAGCTTCACCTTGCCTGCACCCGCATGAGAGATTGTGCATTGGCTGTGTGAAGCTTTCCCTGATTTATAGCAGAGCAGACCCCCCAGCCTTACCGGATCAAGCAGAAAGCATATCAATGAGTCTTCTGAGGAGACAGTTTCGGGTGGGTAGCCATGTTGGTCTGCAGTAGAAGAACAAAACTGAAGTCCAGTAGCACCTTGAAGTCCAGCAAGATTTCTAGGGTAGAAGCCTTTGATGATTATAGAATTGCAGAGTTGGGTGGGGCCATCCAGGCCACATAGTCCAACGCCCCCCCAATGCAGGATCAACCTAGAGCATCCCTGACAAGTGTTTGTCCAGCCGCTGCTTAAAGACTGCCAGTGAGGGGGAGGCTCACCACCTCCCGAGGCAGCTGATTCCACTGTTGAGAAGAGAGAAGAAGAAGAGATTGGATTTATACCCTGCCCTTCACTCGGAGTCTCAGAGCGGCTTACAAACTCCTTTTCCTTCCCCTCCCCACAACAGACACCCTGTGAGGTAGGTGGGGGTGAGAGAGCTCTGAGAGAACTGCTCTTTTTCAAGAACAGCTGTGCCAGAATTATGGCTTGCCCAAGGTCATCCAGCAGCTGCAAATGGAGGAGTGGGGAATCAAACCCGGTTCTCCCAGATTAGAGTCCGCACATTTAACCACTACACCAAGCTGTTGAACAACTCTGTTTGAATAACTTCCAGAGCCAGTTTGGTGTAGTGGTTAAGTGCACGGACTCTAATCTGGGAGAACTGGGTTTGATTCCCCACTCCTCCATTTGCAGCTGCTGGATGACCTTGGGCAAGCCATAATTCTGGCACAGCTGTTCTTGAAAAAGAGCAGTTCTCTCAGAGCTCTCTCACCCCCACCTACCTCACAGGGTGTCTGTTGTGGGGAGGGGAAGGGAAAGGAGTTTGTAAGCCGTTCTGAGACGCCTTCGGGTAGTGAAGGGCGGGGTATAAATCCCATCTCTTCTTCTTCTTCCTTCTGTCAAAACGTTCTTCCTCATATCCTGCCGGTCCCTTCCCGCCCTTAATTTAAACCCATGATGGTGAGTCAGATTAAAGCACCTTTCGTAATGTATCATTTTGGGATCTGACAGGGGAAGCTTTGACTCTCAAAAGCTTTATACCCCGAACATCCTGTTGGTGTTTAAGGTGCTGCTGGACTCGCATGTTGCTCTTCTTCTAAGGGAGAACAGCGTTCCTGTCCTATTCTGACTCTCACACCCAGCTGAGTGGGTCATTCAGCACTGCAGCCATTACAGTCTGCCGTCAGCATATTATTATAACGGTCCCCCCAAATGTATTTTGTGAACACGGGCCGTGTGCCGCTTGGCCGTATGCAACATCGCTCGTGACACTCGACTGTCGCCCTCTTCTCCTCCGCGCCAGGCGAAGCTGAGCCGATTATGCGAACAAGACAAAGTGGTGCAAGCCCTGGAAGAGAAGCTCCAGCAGCTGCACAAGGAAAAAGTAGGACAATGATATTTATTTCTCCCTCCCTCCCTCCCCCCGCTCCCCCCCCCAGAAAAAAATGGATGTTATTTGGCACGCTCATTATCAGGACACTGATAAGTGAAGTAAAAAGAAAATCAGTCCGGTGGTGTGGAACATTAAAAATTACTCTTTTTATTACCACAGTACACGCTTGAGCAAGCTTTGCTATCAGCCAGTCAGGAGATAGAAATGAATGCAGAAAACCCGGCCGCCATACAGAATGTCATCTTGCAGCGGGATGATTTACAGAATGGACTCCTTAGCACTTGTCGAGAAGTGTCTCGGGCGACCGCAGTAAGTAATGCGATTTTTCTTCCGCTAGTAAAACTCAGTGGCGTGTGTGGTGGTGACTCTTTGTTGGAGGTGACTTTTTTTTAATTGTCCATCGACAGGTTTGTTCTCTAGTACAGCCAAACAAACCTTAATGTGTCTTGAGTTTTCCCATCAATGTACGGCACCTAAAGGGCAAAGAAGGGCTTCTTTGGTGTGGTGGAATGATCATGTCTTTATTTTTTAGAATAGTTGGGGAGGGGCTGTGGCTCAGTGGTAGATCATCTGCTTGGCATGCAGAACGTCCCAGGATCAATCCCCAGCATCTCCAGCTAAAAGGACCAAGCAGGAGGAGGAGGAGGAGGAGATTGGATTTATACCCCGCCCTTCACTACCCGAAGGTGTCTCAGAGCAGCTTACAAACTCCTTTCCCTTCCCCTCCCCACAACAGACACCCTGTGAGGTAGGTGGGGCTGAGAGAGCTCTTGACAGAAACTGCTCATGAGAGGAGAAGAAGAAGAGATTGGATTTATACCCCGCCCTTCACTCGGAGTCTCAGAGTGGTTTACAAACTTCTTTCCCTTCCCCTCCCCACAACAGACACCCTGGGAGGTGGGTGGGGCTGAGAGAGCTCTGACAGAAACTGCTCTTTTTCAAGGACAGCTCTTATCAGAGCTACGACTTGCCCAAGGTCATCCAGCCAGGTGCGAGTGGAGGAGTGGGGAATCAAACCCGGTTCTCCCAGATTAGAGTCTGCTCACTTAACCAATACACCAAACAGGCTAGGTGATGTGAAAGTCCTCTACCTGAGACCCTGGAGAGCTGCTGCCTGTCAGAGCAGGCAGTACTGACCTTGATGCACTCATGGTCTGATTTAATATAAAGCACAGCTTCATTTGTGTCCGTGTGGACAAATCCCAGAGCTGTAGAGATGCAGAATGTTCTGCCTTTTTACTTCAAAAAATATTATTTTTAAAAGATCTCTACCTACTTTCCATCTGATGGACCTATAGCAGAAGCTGACAGTAAGCATGAAGAAAGTAATAATAATTTTAAAAACGTCAGAAATCTACACATGATTTCATTCAATCCACCAGTGAAAATTCACAAAGCGTCTAGCCCTTGGGAAGAAAGTCATCTTCAGTGGTCACCGAAATGTCAGTAGTGAGGAGAAAACACGATTCTCCTTAGGAAGCAAGTTCCGTGATCTTGGTGCCACGACAGAGAAGGCCTCGATCCATGTTTGTCACCCATCACAATTCAGATGGTGAGGAAACGTGAAGCAGGACTCTGGAGATGACCCAAGGGTACAGGAAAGGTCTCAGATGGGAAGTGCTTAAAATTTTGCTGTTGTTCAGTCGCACAGTCGAGTCCGACTCTTTGCGACCCCCAGGGCTGGCTCACTCACTAGGCAAACTAGGCGATCGCCTAGAGTGGGACGGCCCTTAGGGGCACCAAACTGCACCCGGCCCCGTACTCTGGGAGTTTCTTGATTATTTGTGTTTTTCATTCTTCCTAAAATGCATTTATTTTTTAATGGGTGGGGGGGGGGGGGGGGGGGGGCAGAAGGGATCCTCGCCTAGGGTGCAAAATAAGCTGGAGCCGGCCCTGGTGACCCCATGGACCAGATCACGCCAGGCCTTCCTGTCTTAGTCCTTAAAATACCTCAGAGTTTACTTCTTAAGCCTGAGAGTGACTGGTACCTCCTCAAAACTGTCAGAGCACCGAAATCCCACCCCACGAAGTCTTCCTTGAACGTTCTCTTCTGGGGAATTACTGATCCAACTTTTTTGTTGGATTGTAGCGTAGCTTGGCTGCTGTTGTATCTAGAAGAAGAAGAAGAAGAGGTTGGATTTATACCCCGCTCTTCACTCGGTGTCTCAGAGCAGCTTACAAACTCCTTTCCCTCCCCCTCCCCACAACAGACACCCTGTGAGGTAGGTGGGGCTGAGAGAGCTCTTTCAAGAACTGCCCTTTCAAGGGCAGCTCTTGTCGGAACTATGGCTTGCCCAAGGTCATCCAGCAGGTGCAAGTGGAGGCGTGGGGAATCAAACCCAGTTCTCCCAGATTAGAGTCCGTGCACTTAATCACTACACCAAACTGGCTCTCTACTAGTTGCTTGGGTAGCGTTATATGTACATGTGTCAGACGCCTGGTCAAGAGACTCCCAACAACACTCTCTGTGGCAGTGATTTGTTTACTGAGGTATCAGCACGATCCAGGTCAGAACAGTACTGTGTCAGAACTGAGGGTTTTGACGGTAACTTCTACAGATATAGCTAATTCAGATGTAGCCCCCACCCCTCCCCGGTTTCATCCAGTCATTTCATTCGGCTATCCCGCCTATCTTGGCAGAAGAGAAACATAAAGAGCTATTTGAAAAACTTGTGAAAAAATTCAAAGTAGAATAGCATGCTGGTGGATCTACTCAGAATTCCGTTAAAGTGGCCCAGCAGGTGTGGAAGGAGGGAGAGCACAGAGCCTGCCCATGGAACAGGGTGGGAGGCTGAGCGGCAGCCGTGTCTGTAAAGATGAGGAGTGCCGTCTGCCCTGCAGCCTGGCAACTTGGGACTTCAGTGACCACAGTAGTCCTGCTAGAGGGCTAAAATCAGCCTTTGTTGGGCTCGAGAACCTCCTAGACTTTCATTTGAAAACTTCTCGTTTGTTTATTTTTAACTGCCACCAGTACTTTGTAACATTTGTAATGCACTATTTAATTGTTGTGTTTTAATTCTGTACTATTTATGCTTTTATTCTGTATTGTTGTATTGTTGTTGGAAGCCGCCCTGAGCCTGCTTTGCGGGGAGGGCGGGGTGTACATTTGACTATAAATAAATAAATAAATAAAATAAGCTGTTAACATCTACGCCCACCTATAAATTCCCTGGCCCCTTATCTAAGACAGCAAGGCTAGCACAGAGCTTGCTTCAAGGTCGTCTCTCTGGAGAGGTTCCGTCTTGGGAAGAGTTACGATAGCCACTACAATAGAGCCACTTTCACACTTCCGCACACGCACAGACCCCCCTCAGGAATTTCCCTCCCCCCCATAACTATGGCAAACGAATTTGACACATGAGTTCTTCCTTTTTGTGTTCCACGCCCAAAGGAATGCTTAAATAGGTGCAATGTTAACTCCAAGAACATGTGCTATGTTCATCATTGTTCTCCTATGAGAGTAACTGTAATCTCATGACAAATATCTCCAATAAGGAGTGTAGCAGCCACAATGCAGAGAGGCCATGGAGGACTGCTACGCCTCTTTCATCGTTACCCTCTACTTTGAATTTTCAGTTTTCGTTCGAATTTCTTTTTTTTAAAAAAAAGCTCAGGTTAAGGAGAATATGTAGGCAGTATTCTAAGAAGAAAGAGAAGGGAGCACTCACTGGAGAAGACCCTGATGCTGGGTATGTTTAAAGGTCAAAGAAGACGGGGACGGCAAAGGATGAGATGGTTAGACAGTGTCATAGACACTGAACATGAAATTGAGCCAACTTCAGAGGACGGCGGAAGACAGGAGGTCCTGGCGGGATCTGGTCCATGGGGTCGCGAAGAGTCGGACTCGACTGTGCGACTGAACAACAACAAATTCTAAGAAGTTAACCTCCTTCAACCTTCCATTGTACTGGACAATGAATTCCGATTAATGATCGATAGACGTTTAATTAAAATGTAATCTTTTTTGGATCGAAGCAAATAATTCCGTAGTGCAGTCGTAAGCAGAGTCACACCCTTACAAGCCCATTGATGGGCTTAGAAGAATGTAACTCTTTTTAGGATCACACTGCTTGTCGACTAGGGTTTCGTTGTTGGTGTTCCAGACAGTGTTCCCTCTAAGCTGAGTTAGTGTGAGCTAGCTCACAGCTTTTTAGCCTTCAGCTCACAGATCAGGAAGGATGGCTCCAGAGCAAACTAATTTATTCAGTATCCCAATTGCTGTCTCTCAGCTTTAATGCCAGTAGCTCACAAAGTAGAATTTTTGCTCACAATACTCCACCGCTTAGAGGGAGCATTGGCTCCAGACTGACATGTAATGTGTGTCCCTGTCCCCACTGCTGTGTGCATTTAAGCCGTCCCAAAAGTTTTGGCAAAGAAGCCTACACGCAAGTAACAATTAGTCCCTGAGTTATGGGTTGCCTTCAAGCACCAAGAACAAATCATGGTTCGTAGAAGAAGAAGAGAAGGTTCTTATACCCCACTTTTCTCTACCTTAAGGAGTCTCAAACTGGCTTACAGTCTCCTAGATTAATAGAATCATAGAGCTAACCTCCAGGGTCATCTTGTCAAACCCCTTGCACAGTGCAGGAAATTCACAAATACCTCTCCCAACGTACACACCCGGTGACCCCTGCTCCATGCCCAGAAGATGGCAAAAAAACCTCCAGGATCACTAGCCAAACTGGCCTGCATGAAAAAAAGATGGCAAAAAACCTCCAGGATCACTGGCTAAACTAACCTGCAGGAAAAATTGCTGCCTGGCCCCAAAGTGTCAATCAGCATTTATCTGGGCATGTAAGAAAGGGCCACTAGAACTAAGCACTGAGGCAACCCTTCCTGCCCTCTTTCTCATGATCTGCCTAAGTTCACAGAGTCAGCCTTGCTGTCAGATGGCCATCTAGCCTCTGTTTGAAAACCTCCCAAGAAGGAGAGCCCACCACCTCCCGAGGAAGTCTGTTCCACTGAGGATTTTTTAGCTCTTCCTAATGTTTAGCCAAAAACTCATCCTCTTCCTCTCCCCAAAACAGGCACCTTTTGAGGCAGGTGGGGCTGAGAGAGCTCTAAGAGAACTGTGACTGGCCCCCAGGTCACCCAGCAGGCTTCATGTGGAGAAGGAGTGGGGAATCTCATGTACTAAGAAAACGCCATTTGGATATCACAAGACATTGCCGTTGCTTCTGAACCAGAAAGCCGCCAATCTTGGCCTGGCCCAGAAGGAGAAAGGAGGAGCACTTGAGCATCCTCTGAATGCCACCATTTTCAGCCACCAGTCAGATTTTATTGTCCTCAGCACACGATCCCACGTCCATAATTTGCACATTTGCCAGTGGGGATAAACCATCAAAATTGATACACGTTTTTGATTCTTTTTTTCTTTTTCCAGGAGCTCGAGAGGGCTTGGCGGGAGTATGACAAATTAGAGTACGATGTAACAGTCACAAAGAACCATATGCAGGAGCAACTGGAGCGGCTGGGGGAAGTTCAGGTACGACCAGAACCTCGCCTTCATATGACATCATCAGTGTGTGCCAGATTCAGCAATGAGAGGGATGCATTTCTGTCGGGGTGCACTTTATAGGTGTGATCTGAGAAGATGGATTGGCACACTCTCCTTTTTTGGTTAAAAAATATTTGAAATGGTGTAAAGCGAATGGCAGTATCGGCTGTTTGAATCCTTAGAATGAACAGAAAAGAGAAGACTAGGTGGGGGGACATGGCAGAGGTTTGTAAAGTTATGCACAGGGGTGGAGAGAGTTGACAGAGAAATTTTTCTCACTCTCCCAAATGCAAGAACTCAAGGCGATCCAGTGAAGCTAATGGGCAATAGGTTCAGGATGGGCAAAAGAAAATACTTCTTTACACAATGAGTGATTAAAATGTGGAATTCACGCCAGAGGGTGTGAATAAACAGGCTTAAAACGGTATTGGATGGATTCATGGCGGAGAGGTCTCTCTGTGGCTACTAGCCGTGGTGACTAACGGAAACCTCCACGTTCAGAAGCAGTCAACCTCTGAACTCCAGTGCCAGGAGACAACCTCAGGGGAAGGCCTTGGCTTCTGTGCTCTGTTGTTGGCCCTCCAGAGGAACTGGCTGGCCATTGTGAGACGGCATGGTGTACTAGATGTAATTAGTCACCCTGAGCCCATCGTGGGATAGGGCAGGATATAAATACACTAAATAAATAAATAAACCACTGGTCCAGTCCAGTAGGGCTCTTCATATGTTGTCATGTTCTTAACAGAATGATTAGTTGACAATATCAGTCTCTGTTTGAGGCGATCTCATAAGAACATAAGAGATGCCAATGTTGGATCAGGCCAAAGGCCCATCCAGTCAAACACTGTATCACACAGTGGCCAGAAATACCAGTGCCATCAGGAGGTCCACCAGTGGGGCCAGGACATTAGAAGCCCTCCCACTGTTGACCCCCCCCCCCCAAGCACCAAGATGACAGAGCATCACTTGCCCCAGAGTCCCTATCTATACCTTGTGGCTCACATACTAAGCCCAAC